TTAACACTGAAGGGAAATACAGTGCAAGCATCTATACAAAGTGTTCTTTGAAATGAAGAATGTAAATAAAAGGCTTTTTTCCCCAAGCTAGTTCCTTGTTGCGATGCTTGCAGTGACAGTAAAGAGTTTAAAGTGATACACGTCACTTTAAAGACCTGCGTTTAAAAAAAATATTTTGGTCTTGTGTATGGGTGCAGATACATACTTTTTCACTTTACGCAGGCTGAACAACCTCAATATGGGAAAGGGATGTACTCTAGGTTTGAAACAAAGTGGGATATGGTTGTGTCTAGGGAGGAATGAGATCAGCACATACAAACTCTGTGCGGCGTGTGCAGATTATCATGGATTTTTGCAGACTTGTATCACTTAACCACTTATGTAGCTGACAGCAGGGTGTAAATGGACAAAGAAGTAGCTGTCTTTTTTGCAAACTTCCCAAGTTTGTGTAACAGCTGGTTTTCATGACTCTGAATTTCCAGATGCAAACCTCTAAAATGAGCATCCTATTGGATGGATGCTTGTCTTGGAGGGACTGCAGCCCACAAAAGTCAGGCTGGAGAACGGGTGTGATGTGTGAGCTGTCCTCACTGAAATTTAGACTAGTTTTACAGCTGACTACTGGGCTGACCGGGGAAGTATTTGGCAAATTCTCTTTTCTTAACCTGGACCAAGTTTTAAGCATGTGAAAGGAGCTATGAACGGAGAATTGAAAAACATTGCTATATGGATCTAAAACTGGTTGCCTAATTTTCCCATTTCTCTGTGATGCTGCTAGAAAGTAGCAACGGTAGATTTTTATTTTTTTTAACCCTCAACTCTTGAGAATTCCCTTTTGACCAGCAATATGTAAAGGGCAGTCACAGTTACAAAATTTTCTGTATGGTTCAGGTGTGTGTCCACATACTGGCTTGATAAAAATGCATTAACAGAAATAGCTGGGGTTTAGTTGATGTAATTGTGTTGTAGTCCATCAAGAAACGCATCTCCTGAAGAAAGAAGGGTTCTTGTCCTGCCCACCAAATGAAACGCGTTGTTGAAACAAGGGGAAAAAAAAAAAAGCTGCTTAGTACAAACCTTCTAGGGTTAAGCCTAGCTATTATAATCCATCCTTGCAGCAGAATTTGTGTGTTATATATCAGTAAATAGAATATACCTTTTTGCTGTTCTGCTCTGAATGTACACCAAAAACTCTTGAGTGTTTCAAGGTACTATTAATCACATGCAGGGATTTAGGACTTTTAAAATATTTTATCTTTTGCTGTATTTAAAAGACCATATTATCTATGTCAGTGATGCATCTTTAAATGTACATCGAATGGTGGCACAAGTATCAGCGGCTGTTTTCTTAAATATTTACATCCTGTAAGGCTGATTCTGACTGATTCTTCCCATTCCATTCATTCTATGGATTGCTGCCCCCATCCTCCTGCCGTAAAGGTACAAGTACTGGTAAGCTGGAGAAGCCTGAAAATTAGGAACTGGACCTGTGAAACATGAATGGGTGCTATGTCTGGAACGTTTTTTGAATGAATTAAAAGTAAGGGAGGGTTATGGGAGTAGTTCTGGTTTGCACACCAGAATCCCAGGCGCCTGCTAGGATCCCAGCGCCCTGTCTGGGCGGGAGCAGGACTCGCCCGGGGTGCCAGGAAGGGAGGTCCTCTCCTTGCCACCCGCTGAGGCGGGCTTGCCATTTGTGGGGTGTGTGATGGCTTTCAGCCGTCTTGACTGACAAACAGCTCAGCTCGATGAACCAAACTCGCTGTCTGCAGCGAGGTACAAGTCTCAAGTGGGAATAGAGAGCAGTGAAGTTTTTGTTGTGCTTTGGAGTGATGGACAGTTCTCAGCTATTTATGCGACACTGCTGGACTTGTTCTGCATATAATTTTTTCCTGTCTCCTTTCTTACTCTGCTATCCCTCAGACAAAATAGCTAGTAAATACGTAGTCTGTGTTTTTTGACTAGGTTCCTAAAATCCATCCTGAAGCCCTTGCATATGTAAGCATGACCTTTGAAATATTTCAAAAAAAAAAAAAAAGCCTCAGTGGTTTGCCTTTACGCCACTGTGTAAAAGTTGTGCCCTCTATTGGAGCACTCATTTGTCCATCGACTCCGTCTATCGAACACTTTCCCTTCAAAGCCATAAAAAAAGCTTCTCTTTTGCAAGTATGATTTGTCAGTGCGTTCTATAGCAGCTGACATCTTCAGAGACTGCTTTCCTGTTTAAATATCAGGCTCTTGAAATTAGTCTTAATTTAAATGCAGTGTTTCTTTTTTACCTATGTCTCCACATCAGTCCTTTGTTGCTGAGGGCAATTTGGAGAACGTGCAACTGAACAAACTAAGCGGTTTTCAAAATTTCTAACAAGAATTTTCAAATTAGAGGTGCAATACAATCTTAAGTTTTGCTTCTGTTTTATTTAATAATAGCTGGCAGTGAATGAAAAGCACTCTGGATGTGGTATCAGGCAGTCTGCTTCTCAAATAGAGAGAAACTGAGACGTGGAGCTGTGACCCGTTTGAGGTCGCCCTCCCCAGCCAGGAGCAGAGCAAAGTGCTCTGCTGGTGGGTGATACCATCTGTAGAAAAGGGAGAAGCAAGCAACATTAATGTGAATATTAAAAAGCATTTAATGCAAAGATCAAGGAATTTAATCACTTACATATTTGAAACAGTCTGTCTAAAGAAATATTTGGAGTTTTTACAGAGTTATGCTGCTAACGGTAGAAACAAAAACGAAAACTAGCTGTATGCTTTTGAATGAAACAGCTTTCCGTGTCTCTAAAGTGTGTTCTCGATTTATTAATTAGTGTGTTGCTTATGCATATGGCTATACTGACCCTTGTAAATGTGTGAAAGTATATTTATGTGACTCATGGGGTTTCTTGGTTGGGGGGATGTTTTTTGAGAAAGACAACGGTAGATTATTCTTTCTGGATTTTTTTTTAGTCCTGGAGATGCTTCGTAATTAGATATGAGTGTAAGACGCAGTCAGAATAGCCGAGACTCTTCAACCTTCTCCCACTTCTGTATTTCACTTGGACCTTTAGTTTCTCATAGAACAGAACGAAGGGATGGAAAATTAGTTGGAGCCATATGTATTGCTCTCAGGGTTTATAGCTATGCTATGTAAACTATTAGAGGGTAAAAAAAGTAAATGTATTGATACTGAGCCAGATTTTTTTCTGAGCTGTGCAAGCAGCCTTAAGCTGTCTCTGAACACAGAGCTGCTTTGATTTTAAAAAAAAAAACAACACACACGACAACAACCAAACAAACAAAACAACAAAAATTTCCTGTCTCTCCTCCCCTGCTCCTTTTCTTTTGCCGGGGCGGGGGTGATGCAGGGTCCCCCCTACATGCAGAGTGGCCAGCAAAAAGAGGACACTACCTGTGCTCATCCTTTTGGGAGTTAACATAAACAGAGCCCAGCTTGAGGGGAGTTTAAAAGGTGGCTTTAGACGGCTCTTCTACTGCATCACTTTCAACTTGGGGACTGCGATTTAACAAGCTGCTTGAGTCTGGACTGTGACAGATGTCCACAGAGATGCCCATGTTGTCACTCATCCTGGTCCCTAGGCAAATGTTTTCACGCAATTCCTTGGTTGCACCCTCATCCAGAGCACATCC